ATCCTGTTCGAATACCATAGACTTTGCAGATTTTTCATCATCATTACAAACTGCTCCTAAAACCTGGATGAATTCTTTCATACATTCACAAAACTAACAAAACTTTGTCTTTGAAAGTGAGTTTCATTTTAGAAACAAAAGCCCAAATCATTTGCATTAAGACCAGCCAACATACAGATAATTAAACCAAATACTTTGGGAGGAGGGGTAAAATTAAGATTAAAAAAAAATTGTCTTCCTAAGTTTCTAATTTGTCTCAAACTGTCTCAGAAGCCAAGTGCGAAGTGCAGTTTCAAAAACATGTTTGTAATGGGAGCCTCATCTCACCGCAGGTGCTTAGGGAACAACTTCTATGCTGCAGCACACACTGCGCTCAACACTGGGGACAAGACAGATGTGGCTTGTTTCCTCCCAAAGCTGACAGTCTAGCGGAAGAGACAAAGAACAAAGCAAGACACTGGGATAAGGGAGAGGAAGCACAAGGCTCCTTCCACAGCAGATACTCAGGAGGACAATACTCATTTGGTCCAGCCCCAGCGACCCCCAAGCCACCACCCAGCGCAGCCTCATGTCACGGCAGCCGAGCAGGTCCTCAGCGTGCCCTGCTCTCTCCCAGGCTACACCCTGGCTCACGCAGTGCATTCACCAACAGCTCCATCTAAAAAATCATCCTGCTAATTTTTAAAGACTGAATTTAATTTAGCATGAAGCTTTCCTAATTATCCCCCTTTTCTGTCACATCACCCACAACTTGGAATTGTATGTATCCTTGTCCTGTTTTTCCACCAATGTTTAATTCTTCACTTTCCTCACTTGTTAAACCTACACTGGGCTGAAGCTTTGTGCGCCCATCTGCAGGTCTGCAGGGGCTGAGAATGCCTTAAAGACAAAGGACATAGTCTTACCTGCTTTTTTTGTTTGTTTTAATCTACAGCATCTAGCAAGTTACTGTTTCCATAATTTCTGTTGAGCAAATTTGTCCAATCTGCTACAAATTTGTTTCTTAAAAGTCAGCTTTATTGCTTCAAAGTCACACCCCATGAATTACCATGTCAAGCTGACAAAGAATCACCACAAGAACATTTGGATTTCATTTTTACCATTTTCAGAGGCCTCATGGATCCAATGTATGCTGCTTCTGTATCCCAGAAGGACAAGTCAGGGTATTCACCAGGTTCCAGGATGAAAGGAACACCCTGAAATCCAGGTTCTTCATAAATCAGCCACCTAAACAGCCACCATGGAAGGAAAGAAAGGGAGCCAACTCATCATTTGTTTCAGTTTTTCCTTCTGTCTGGTACCCAGGATGAGAGGAAAAGAACAGCAGAGGATACGGACCCACACAATGAACGGCTGGACTTAGGTGTTAGAATCACACTAGACTCAAGGACAAATAAAGCCATTATATGCTTCTCTTCTTGATCTTTCACTTTTCTCCTTGGCTGGCTTTGTCCCCTTATTTTAATTTATATTATTAATTGCTCCTAAGTTCCACCTAATCATTTGTCATGGTGCCAAACATTAGTAACAGCTAACATCTCCCTAGAGCATAAAAGGAATCCACTCAGAATTTCATCTAATCCTCACTGCAATGCTATGAGGAAGAGATGCTATTGTCCCCGTTTGATAGATAAGTAAGTTGCCCAAGGCCACACAGCTGTAAGTATGAAAGGCTGGAACGATTCAAGCCGATTCCAGATCCAGGTTCCTAATCAATTTTTTTTTTTCTTTTGACGGAGTCTTACTGTGTTGCCCAGGCTGGAGTACAGTGGCTTGCTCTCGGCTCACTGCAACCTCTGCCTCCTGGTTCAAACGATTCTCCTGCCTCAGCCTTCCAAGTAGCTAAGAGTACAGGCACACACCACTGCACCCGACTAAGTTTTGCATTTTGCATATTTTTTTACTGGGGGGGGTCTCACCATGTTGGCCAGGCTGGTCTCGAACTCCTGGCCTCAGGTGATCCATCAGCCTCGGCTTCCCAAAGTGCTGGGATTACAGGTGTGAGCCACCATGCCCAGCCCTAATCATTTTGGTGATGGCAATTTTTCTCATTACAGGAAGTGCACTGAACACAGTTTACTCTTTTCACAGTTACTCAGGATCATCACTGTGAGCATTACTTAATGCACAGTGGTGTCCTCAGGGGCTCTGAAGGTCTGTGGGACTGCTTGTTCCCAGGCTGCAAAGTTTTTTGAGTTCTTGGTTCTGATTGTTATGGCTTTTCAATACCACACCCTTCTATCAGCTTGTCAGCTGTGGCTTCCGCTTCAGTCGGGAACCAGCAGCCCCACCCTCCTCTAACGGGCCAGAAATCAGGAAACCAGAAAACCATGCCTATTAGCCCTGTCTCTGAAGTTTACAAGGTCTTCTTGTAAATGTCTTGGTTCCTGGGAAGGGTTCCGAGAAGGTAAGGATGCTGAAGAAGTGAGTTTTCTATAAGAGAGGGGTTAATGTACCCACTTCATAAACAAACGTAGACTTCTTAGTGATCACTTACAACTCACCAATTTGATTAGTTTCCCTAAAAGGTTCTAGCCGTGGCACTCCACCATGTTGCTGTGTTCCCCAGAACACCACGCCAAGAAGAAAGTGGCTCTAAATGAAACCTTTTACCAACAAAATGGGTCTGACACCTCCCTCTTTGCTTTTTTCTTCTTCCCAATTTTGGCCCAAGGCACATTTTTGGCGATGGGTTTTGTTGAAGATTCCGCTGGATAAATTGGTCACTTCTCTAGACTCTCTAATTATACAGTGATTTACAACCAGGCTCCTACTGATGATTTGACAACACACACATGAAAGAATGTTGGGAGGCCAGGTGTGGGATATGGGTAAGAGGTCAGAACTACAGTGTTAGAAGTCAGGATGATGGTTACCGGGTAGAGGGCGTGAAGATGACTAGGAAGACGCACGAATGAAAGGGGTTTCTGCGACGCTGGGAATGTTCTTTTTCTTGACCTGAGTGGTGATCGCTCTTGTATTCACTTTGTGAAAATTCACTCAGCTTATATATTTAGGGTTTATGAACCTTTTTGTACAGATGTTATGCTTCAAAAAAAAAAGTTACCTTAAGGAAAAAAAGAGGCTTATCTTTTAAATACTACTCTAATGCTTCTAAAGCACAAGAAAACAGAGGCTAAGAATAGGGTACTTTAAACTTCCTTATGTTTAAAGCATGACAGCCAAGGATACACTACATGTATTCTGGAGCTCAAAGTTATCACAGGCACACTACCCACAGATTTTTTTCTCTAACAAAGTAATGGCAGTTCTGTAACACATTATGGTATTAGGCTAACAAACCAAGCAGGTTCCGAAGTCTGACTTCTTCAAAGCTTAATTTTTCATAAACTGAATGTATGGCTCATGAGCAAGTGATCTGAGATTTTGAAATGATCCTTACCAAAGTGCCTTTTCATTAAGTCTTTCCTTCTATAGCTTGAGTTCAAAGAGGATTTATTCATCTGATACTAAACATTTCACTTTTGTTGAAGCATGTGGTTTAGTTGCATAACATTTATGGAGGAAAGTCATTCTAGGTAGAGGGGAATTTGTGAAAAAACTGAACATATAAATGAATGCATTTGAAAAGACTGCTGTTCTGAAAGTTCTTCCTTAGTAAATGAGTGCTGAAGGCCTGCTGGGTAATTCAAACAGACATTTACTAACGTTGGGTGGACTTTGGAATTTGAAAACTCATATACAGAGTATGATTCACTTTTTCTAAATTCTGTTCCCAATAAGATACATTATTTATGAGGCCATCAGGAGAGGGGGAAACTATCTCCAGGCAGTGTTATTTCAGTTTCTAAAGGTAATCTTTTATTTTCCCATGCACTTAGGTCATAAGCTTTTGCCAATATAGATTAAAAAGTACAACTTTATAGTTGTACTTAACAAACAGTATGATTATAAAGTCAAGCTTATTTTTTTAAACAAACAAATGTATACCTACAAATCAATATTTTTAAAGTAATAACAATGGCCATCTGTTTATTAAAAATATTTGTCTAATTACTCTTTTAGAAATACCCCTTGAGTCACACAAGAAAAATCAGTCTTATCTTGTTCACTTGTTCTTAAACCAAAAACAGCACTTCCAGATGGATCTTAAGTTTTGTTCCCTAGATATGGCTGTCCATGAATATTGGCCATTCACAGAAACCAACTGGATACGTGAAAAATTAAATATGAATGTACTGACTTTGAGGTTATTCACAAGAGAGGGGGCTGTGAATGTCAAAGGGGAAAATGAACCTTTACAATGGAAAGATGGAGGAGGCACCACTTTAACCAAGCAATCAAACTTGGTATTGCTAATGGGCAAGCTAGTTAGCACATGCTGCCTGCTGTGATGCAACGTAAATATATGGCGCTACCTATACAAAGTATCCATGCCAAAACTGTTTGGCCTGAACCTAACCATACCTCGGGACCTAAGCCGTAGTAGATAGGAAATTCGGGCAACAGAAGAACAAGCTAAATAATAGCATGAGGGAACACTCAGACAAACCTAGAATGTGGCACACTCCCTAAGACAGCTGGCCTAAATCTTTTTAAAAGTTAGTGGCTTGGGAAACAAAGATGAGGCATTTTAGAGATTTTTAAAAAGAGACTTAAAGAGACAGAACAATCAAACGCATTTATATGAACCTTGATTGGATTCTGATTTGAAAACGCAAATCTATAAAAGACATTCCTGAAGCAATTGGGAACATTTGGTGATGGGCTATAGAACAGATATTATCATGGATACCTTGTGAATTTTCTCAGATGTAATAGTGATAGTTACGCAGGAGAATATCATTAGAAAGAGAGTCAGGCTGAATCCTATATGGATGAAGGATCATGATATCTCCAATGTACATTCAAGTGCTCAGAAAAATAATAACACAAATATGGCAAAATATTAACAGTTATTGGGTCAAAGTGAATGGTACACTGGTGTTCACTGAACTGTTTTTCCTACTTTTCTGTATGTTTGAAAACTTTTATAATAAAAAATTGGGCTCTGATATGATATATTCCACGATGAAATATACAGTGAATATTACACAGCAATGACAAAAATACATACAGATGTACCCGTCAATCTGAGTAATCTTAGGAGTGTAGTTACATGTGTAACCAGGGTGGGCTACACCAGGTTCTGTAGCAATGTTGGTAATGGTCTAGGTTGTAAGTTGGGTGGTGGGTCCACAGGGGATTGTTTTATTATTGGGCTTCATGGTTCACATATATACATATATTCTTCTGTATATGTCAAATATTACACAGTAAAAATGATCAAATAATGTTTTCCATTAAAAAAGAAGTCCCTTGACTTTAGAACACCTGCATTCTAGCACACATTCTGCTAACAGCTAACCCTAGTCTGGAGAAAGTGACCAAAGCTTGTCTTCCTCAGTCAAATGATGGTGTTGGGCCAGATCATCTTTATACTCCCTTTGAAGTTCTAAACTTCTTTGCTTTTGTTTGTTATAAATATACTAACCCCCACTTCCACCCCCACACACACCCCGCCCCCAGAAAACCCAATATGCTTTCACCTCTGGGAGGATGGGTGCTAGCATTAGCCAGCTGCTTAAAAGAAAGATTTAAAAACAAATTACTCTCAACAGAATCTGAAAGGCAAATTTAGTGAGAAATTACTCATCTCCTCAAATAAGAATTTGACAAGACAGGTAATACCCTTATTTTGTATATGAGTAGAAGAGCTTAATCTAGAGTGAATGGGCCCTGGAATAAATCACCTAATGGATTCTTCAGGAGTTCCTTCCACAGTAAAGACTTCTTATCTCAGTTCAGGGGAACTGGTGCATCAGCAGAAGCAAAATGAGCTTGAGTGCTTACTATCAGTTACATCTTCTCAACCCCTTGAGACTTTCCTTTGAGATCTATAAAAGCACTAATGACCTGGTGTCTAAGCTCACCAACCAAGTTCAATGAGCCCAAACTTTGAATTAATACCCGAGGCAGTGTTCCACTATCCTAATGACAACAGAAATGAACAGCCAGAAAAAAAGATGCCCATCATGACACAAACCTGTCATAAATTGTAAACTGTGACAGGCTGGTAACTACCACCTAGGAGACAAAACTAAACATACTGGAAAGGTAAGAAATATCATTTAAGGTAGCTTAATGTGCTTCAACATAGCCAAGCCTGAGTCATGGCACCCTCCAGACACTGAGATTAAAATATGATAGCAGATGCCTTTTGCATTCTTTTCTAAGGAAAGTGATGTTTCTCAACCTGACATTAATTCTTTAAAAAAAAGTGTATAGACTTATTTCATGTAAAAAAATTAAAGGCAGCAAGAGATGAAGGCATTTTCTTTTGCTTAGATTTCCACTTTTCTTCCCAGTCTCTAAATACAAAAGTGCCTTCTCTTCCCTTAACTACACCCACTCCCTTTTGTGACCGTGTCCTGTGCCTGGTTTAAATGCATTCTGTATGTCAATGACTCCTAAATTTATGCCTCCAGTCTCTCCCCTGAACTCCAGCCTCACACACCTACTCACTTTCCTGCCCACTTACTAGAATTTGCAGTTGGCATCTCAGCCTTAACCTGTCCGAAACTGAGCTCCTGAATCTCACTCTCTCCTATCCTGCTCCTCCAAGTCTTCTTCGTCTCAATAAGTGTTGGGGTTCCAAACCCTGGGCATGTCTCGGCCCCTCATACACCACACACAATCTGTCAGAAATGCTGTTAGTTCTACCTTCAAAATGCATCCAAGGTCTGACCATTTCCCACCACCATCATCGCACGTCTAAGCCACCATCCATTCTTGGCTGTATGATTGCAAGTGCATCCTACGTGGTTTCTTGGCTTCCACCTTTGCCTCTTTATAGATTATTTTCTATATGAACAGTCAGGTTGATCCTTCTGTTAATAACACAAGTTAGATCAAAATTCTCCAATGATTTTCCATGCCACTAAATCCTCCTCCCCGAGGCCTGAAAGGCCAGATGTGACCTGAGCCCTCTCCTATCCCTAACCTCCTAGTTCACTCAGCTTCAGTCACCTTGGCCTCTTAGCTATTGCCCAAGCATGCCCAGAAGGGCTTTTGCAAATGGTGTGCTTCCTCTCTGGGACTGGCTCCCTGACCCTCTTCCCTCAGCTAGCTCCAGGGCAGACTCCCTCACTTCCTGCCAGTCCCTGCTTAAAATGTCACCAGAGTCCTTTACTAGCCACCTTATCTAAAATAGCAACATACCTGCCCCTCTCTGTAATTTATGTTTCTTGTAGCCTTTGCCATCTGACACATTATATATGTATTTGTGTTGTTTATTCCTACTAGACTGACAGCTCCAGGAAAGTGGGAACATCATTTTATGTCTTTACTGCTGTATTCCCAGTGACTAGAAAAGCACCTGGCACTTGGTAGATGCTTGATTAACAGATTTACTGAATATATTTAATACATCTCATAGACACTCTTTTAAGTTTATATTTGTTAAAGTCCCAATTTCTTGTCATATTTTGACAGGGTATGCAGAGGAAATAAAAGCCTTTCCTAATTTCTACTTCTAAATTCACCACCTTTAAAAATTTCAGAGCCTTTTAAGGACTACAGGGTACCAACTGATATAACTCAAAATGTATGCTAAAAGCAGTACATTTCTCTAAAGAAGATACACAAATGGCCAAGAGGTATATGAAAAAATGTTCAACATCACTCAAGATCAGGGAAATGCAAATCAAAACCACAATGAGATACCACCTCACTCCAGTTAGAAAGGCTATTATCAAAAAGACACAATATAACAAGTGTTGGTGAGGATGTGGAGCAAAGGGAACTCTTCCATGCTATTGGTGGGAATATAAATTAGCACAGCCATTATGGAAAACAGTATGGAGGCTCCTCAAAAAATTAAAACTAGAACTACTGTGTGATCTTGCAATCTCACTACTGAGTATATATCCAAAGGAAATGAAATCAAGTATGTCAAAGGATACGTGCACGTGCATGTTTATTGCAGCACTATTCGTAATAGCCAAGACACAGAATCAGCCTGAGTCTCCATCAACAGATGAAAAAATAAAGAAAATGTGGTAAAAATATACAACAGAATAAGTTCTGGTGTTCTATTGCACAGTAGGGTAACTATGATTAACAATAACATATTTGATTATTTCAAAATAGCTAGAAGAGAGGATTCTGAATGATCTCACCACAAAGAAATAACACGTGTTTGAGGTAATGGATTTGCTAATTTCCCTGATTTGATCATTACGCAATGTACACGTGTATCAAAACATCACATTGTACGCCATAAATATGTGCAATTATTATGTGTCAATTAAAAATAATTTAAAAAGCAGTAAAATGTATACTACCCTTGGAAAATAACTTTATACATCAAGAGGAGATATTTAAATTAACATTATTCTCTACACACCAAATTCTGCCCTAATAACTACACCTTTGTATATTGACGAACCATCACTATAGTCTTCCCTTGCTATTTTTTTACTCTTCTGGGAGAGGGGGGTTGTTTTCTGAGAGGGGCTGCCATAGGGAAAGAACACCCTCGGGCTTCTGGGGTGCTGGTAAGGTTCCAGTTCTTGGCTCAAGTGGTGTCTACTTGGGCGCTCACTTTATTTGTTTAAGTGTACATTTTACCTTCTGTGAACTTTTTTCTAGGTGTGCTATATTTCAAAATGTTAAAAGTAAATAAATAAATGAACAAACTGTCATAAAGGAGGCATCTAACTCATACTTTCCTTCCCCTACAAAGCCCTGGATAAATTCTTGTCCATCCTCTACTTGAATACTCCTTGCGATGAGAAACTCTCCACCTAACAAGGCAGCCACTTCCATTTTAACTGTATTAACCATCAGAAAGTTCTTCCCTGGGTCAAGTCAAAATCCATCTCTCTAATTTCTACTGGTTTTTCCTGGAACCTGCTATGGAATAACAGAGAGCAAGTCTAATATCTCCTCTCTATGACCACTTTCCAACTACTCAAGGATAGCTGCTACCAATTCTCAGTAGCCACACTTCCTGTTAAGTTGCCTAGAAGTTTTTAGTTTCTGATTTCTGAGGATCAAAAATCAGATTCTGTGATCTGTAACTTATCCTATTCCTACATTTTGCACAATCAATCATTTTTCTAAGATATGAACAATGGCAAACCGAGACTTTTAGTAATAAATAGAATGCAAAAAGCATGAGTAAGGAGTGCCTTATTGTTCACTGCAGAGATACTCCGTACCACTTTAGGGACAGACTGTAAACTTTTTTGACTGTATAAACCATTAGTAAAAACATTTCAGCAATCTCTGAATATATGAATACTCATAAATTATATACATTACCACTGAACTAATACATTATGCATATTAGAAAACACATACAAAAATAAAATCTTAAGAGGTGGAGACTTTAATCAAATAGAAAGAAGCTTTAGTGTTTTTTCCTGCATCTCAGTGAATGCCTTTCACAGGCCGTGGGGCTTTGTGCTTCACCTTGGAGACCACATTCTTTAGTATTGCAGCCTGTACTTTCTATCCTCATTTCTCCCCTATCTGAGGTATTCCCATTTCCTTCAAAATATTCTTGCTGTTTCCTGTGATTTGTGAAACCAACCTCCTAGGGGCTTTGAACCAGCATTGTGTGAAAATATTCAAGGAAGTACCATGTGTCTTGGCTTCCATCCCCCCCGCAGAAATATCAGAGGCATGTGCTTTGAATTACCTCCTCTGAATCATCATGAAAATATAATCTGCTACTCAGCTTTGAATAAATCAGATTCCTCTGTGACAAGGAAAGCCTTACATTAAAAATTCAATTCCCCCCCCAACATTTCCTATAATAAATCTATATTGTTTTTAAGAGAGATGAATCATAACATAGGTGCAAAAGAACCAGAATTTTATGTGCCTTATAAAAATATACCTTACAGTTAATAATTACTTTACAGGATGACAAATCAGAGTCAGAGTATCTTAAGTCCTTTTTCCAGTACTACACTCACAAAAAAACTTCATTAAAATTGTGTTTGAATAAAAATACTTACGTGCCCCAATATACTTTCATGGAACAAGTCTTCTGCATTACACCAAATCCCTGCATTTCTTCAGTATCATCAAAGTAGGAACTTAGGATTCCTAACCCTTCCGGTTCAGTAAATAAGTCAATGTGACTAACTCTGTAATCCTGAAAAAATATAGATGCATAGACAGTAAGAATTGCACCATGCATTTAACTCTCTAGTAAGCTCATTCTTCTTCTTCTTACAACTAATCAAAATAAGCTTTAAATATACAAATACATTTCACAGAGCACCTGCCATTTTAGCCCTTTCCTGTTTCCATCCATGAATTAATAATCCACCTATTTTGGGGCAGACACACTTGCTTTAGTTATATAACTCAGTGTTGCATTCAAGCAAAGATCATCAGAAATGTATTTTATTTGAGTTTTGGAATATATTTCTCATCCTCACTTGACCCTCCTTGGTCTGGGGTTTTGGTTCCTTTGCTCTGATATAATTATCCAAGCACAGAGACTTTAGTCTGTAGAACGGCTGCTCTTGGAGTCTTCCTCAGCCACTGTTTTGTGTCCATAAGCCCTCTGTTGATTTGTGGTAACTCTCCTTGACTGAGTAAACCTTTATGATGCTGGTTTGATCTAAGTCATAAAAGCAAAAGCACACATTCATAGTGATTTACAAATCTCTGTACTTTGGTCATTGTTCCATGCCCCGCATAGCTGTGGTCCCAACAGTCTTCAAAAGGCCTCGTCTGGTCGAGTGCCTAAGCATTAATGGAATATTTATTGAACCTCATCTATGCAGCTGAGTTGGGTGAACTGAGCAACAGAAGAAATTTTAACACCTGAATAAGCTCAGATGAGGCTTTTCAAATGTTATCAAAAGGAACAACTCTAATGAACTAAAAAGGTAACCTCTAAAATATATGCTCTGACTTATGTTTTTGTTTCAAGAAACCATGCACATGATCTGTAAAGAAAATATAATCCATGACATATCAGGAGCTATAACCATACCCTTTAACATGGCACCATTCAGAAAAATGTACCTCAAGGAAACAAATTAGAAAATTATAAATTACTGGCCGCGCGCAGTGGCTCACACCTGTAATCCCAGCCTTGGGAGGCCGAGGCGGGCAGATCACCTGAGGTCAGGAGTTCAAGAGTAGCCTGGCCAACATGGCGAAAACCCATCTCTACTAAAAACACAAAAATTAGCTGGGCATTGTGGCATGTGCCTGTAATCACAGCTACTGTGGAGGCTGAGGCAGGAGAATCACTTGAACCCCCAGGAGGCAGAAGTTGCAGTGAGCCGAGATTGCACCACTGCACTCCAGCCTGGGTGACAGAGCAAGACTCCATCTCAAAAAAAAGAAAAAGAAAATTATAAATTATTAAATGCACAAAAACATTCTCATGGCATTACTTATAATAGTGAAAAACTAGAAACAACCTTAAGATTCACTGAAAGAAGAAATAACAAATAAATAATGGTAACTCATTTATGTACTAAATAATAAATAATGCATTGTTTCAATGGAATATGATATTCAGCTAAACCCTAAACCTATGGTAACATGAAAAGCTTTTGCTACAGTAAGTCTGCTACTGTCAGACAAAACAAGAGATCTCGTTTTCCTTCCCCATCTTCCTGAATGCACCCAAATCCTCACCCCACCAGATTCATACCTTCCCCAGTTCCAATCCCAAAGATGTTACCAAGGGGAGTGTGATTTTCAGGAAAGTGGTATAAAGAGAAAAAAAGGATTGAGAACCACAGTGTTAGGATAGACAGGTGGAACAGCATTGTCCCTGTATTATGATTACAACTGCGGAAAAAGCAAAGGGTAGAAAATTCAAAAAATAAAGGGGGAGAGGGCACTTCATGATGGGAATCAGATGATATTTTTAAACATTGCTTTATTACCAATATTATTTGAGCAGTAGATAAAAACTCTAGGCAAAATATTCCATTAATGAGGACATTTTGAAATAGGGTTTCTGAAGTCTTACTTAGTCTTCTCATATTATATACTTAAAGCAAATAAAAGATAAATCATTTAGCATACCAATTACCACCTAAGTTACTCAGAAATGTTGACCCAGGAAGTAGCCAACACTTTCCTCTGCCAAAACTGTTACTCATCTTTACTCATTCTCACATCAGAATGTTACTTTTCTCTGTATTGCATCTTGACACTCGTCTCCATTAAAACTTGGGATTTTAATTTTCTACTTAGAAGACACCATTAATTGCATTTTTAAGGTAAAGAATCATCAAATCCCAAGAGCCACAAAGAAAGACTCTGACAACACTTTTCTCATCAAATAACAAGAAACCAAGAAATGTTACCTCATCCATAAAGTGGCCTCAAATAGAGCAAGTAATATGTTGTTAAATCCACATGAAATCCTAGAGTTGATCAACCAAATTATTTTTGGATTATTTATTTTTCCAAGATAGAATTCCTATAAACCACTCAAAGTAATCACAACTCATACAGCAAACAAAAACACTAAGTAAATGAAAAATCTGTTCATAGATGCAGAACTCATTTAAACCAAGTTATCAGGTAAAATATATTTGGAAGATGAGAATAGAAGGACAGGCATAAAAGATTTACCTTAAGGGTTTATTGTGAAAAATTATCTAACCAATTATGTTTCTTTTTAAATTCTTTAAAGTGTACAAATAAACTTAAAATACAGAAAATACATCCATAAGGCACCAAATATGTTTCCCAATCACTTATTTCGTGAAATGAACATTTCCCTTTAAGTACGAATCCATAAATATTTGTTGAATAAATAAAATCCAGATTTACCGCAACCTACCTGGACCACATGTCTGATGGAACCAATCACCACCGGCTTATCAGACTCTGCTTCCTCGTGACTTTCCAAAATGTCTTCTATACCCCAGAGACCAGAGAGTTCCAATTCTCCTTCTTCTAAGGGAATGGAGTGCCCTTCAAAATTTGGTTGCTCATACAAAATCCAACTAACAATAAAACACAGCAAAACCATTAGCCAGTCTTGGTGCGAGAGGCTTTGATTAATCAAATATCCTGGCTAATTGCCATTTTATATATATAGTATATTAGTGGCTAATTATCTAGCAATTAAAATAGCTTAAACTCTCCCTAACACTAATATTTTACTGGGTATAATTAAGTCTCTGATAACTCATGAACTATATCAGGATCTTAGAGAACTTTGGAGTTATCTATATGAATGCTATAGAACTACTAATGCTCCAAGTAATTGCCAGGTGGTGGAGACTTATAAATGATAATATGTCAGATAAATGGATGTTTACTGTAGTGTTTTTTTGTTTTTTTCTGTTTCTTTTTTTTTTTTGATACAGAGTCTTGCTCTGTTGTCCAGGCTAGAGTGCAGTGGTGCGATCTCGGCTTACTGCAACCTCCACCTCCCAGGTTCAAGCAATCCTCCTGCCTCAGCCGCCCGAGTAGCTGGGATTACAGGAATGTGCCACCAAGCCCGGCTCATTTTTGTATTTTTAGTAGAGACGAGGTTTCCCCATGTTGGCCTGCTGATCTTGAACTCCTGGTCTCAAGTGATCTGCCCACCTCGGCCTCCCAGTGTGCTGGAATTACAGGCATGAGCCATCATGTCTGGCCTTTTGTCTCTTCATATGTGTAGAAAACATTTCTCTTAGAGAGATTTTAACTTACATATTACAGTCATATCAATGAATATGTTGGTACAAAAGACTATAGATATGGTAATGGAAAGCATTTTAACAATATTCTTCCGAACAACAGCCAAACACTAAAGAAAAACCTCATGTCAACGTATGGCAGTGTAAATGCTTACGCTTTCGAGAAAAAGAAGCCGACAAAAGTTGCAAAAGAAAGGAAAAAGCACTGTTCTATAAAAACAAAATTTGTGTAAAAAATTGCCACTATTATATATTGTATATTAGTGGCCAATTCTCCAGCAATTAAAATAGCATTTGTCTTCAAATTTAAGAATAAAAGCAAAACTTGTTTTTCTCATGACTATGTTGGAGCTATAGGAAAAAATATTAAAATACCTAGAAATCTAACAGGAAAGCTGCTGCATATTTAATCCAATGGAGACCAAAAGAAAATCTTATGAATTTTTAAATCCATAAACATCCAGAGGTCTACCCTCTTTATTTCAAACAAGTTTACAAATAGGCACCAAAAGATAAGTATTATGCCAGATCAGCTATTTCTTTTTTTAAGCTGCCTTTCTCTACTCAGCTTCCTGTGTGTCTCCAAGAGGCAATGAAGTTGATAAAATGATTTCAGAAACTGTCAAAATATTTATTTTTTTCACTAGTTTCTTTACTTAACCCAAACAATCTTTTGTGGAAATATTGGAAAGCAAATTAAATTTTAAGTTAGTGCTGCACTGAACTATCATTAAAAAATTAGAAAAATGCCTTTATAGATTGTTTTGGTTTTTCCTTATAGATTTTTTTTCCTTATTGTTTCTTTACTTTGCCTTTTCCTACGTGTTCTCAAGTTTCCTTATAGATTTTTTAAAAGTCCTTTCTGGTCTATCAACACGACTAGTGCAATTCTTATCAACCTCATTTAAAGGTCATCAACCAAAAGTGTGTTATGGGCCCTGATTTATGATTAGTTCAAAGCAATATTATGGGGAAACATGGGAAAAAGAAGCTTGTTGCACTGTACTGTTCTGATTTTTCTCCCATAAACATGTATCACTGCTATAATCAGAAACATGATTTAAAATGACATTGTTAAGATATGAATCCCTTATCTTACCACGAGTAGTATTTCCTGTGCTTTCCACTGCTAAAGCCATAATTTTAAACTAGTAGTGAGGACTAAAAAGGTAATTAAGCATGTAAAACACAAACATTCAACATCAGGAACTTAAAGTGCCATTCTTACCATCCTCTAACAACTTTTATGAGTATCACTGGAGAGAGGCTCCAAGAACTGCAATCCTGAATGTCACTGAAAACTTCGATGCACTTCTCGGAGACATCGGGTTCACTATATATCACTACCTGCATGAAAACGAAAGTGGTAGCACAATTTGTCATGCTCTATCAGACCAAAATAGAATCAAGGCTAGAAACAGAAAATAATCTTACCTTTCCAGGTCGGGGATTGAGTTTATTTTGGACACTTCCTCTAAGTGTCTGTAATCAGATGAAGAAAAACACAACAAATAATTACAACTTCACATAACAATCCTCTTTTTCCACCCATGATCCTCTAGGTGGATCACACTTATCCCACACTGTATTGATTTTGAAACATCCACTCTAATCGATGCTAAAGTTGTATTAAAACTCTTTGAGTTCATACTTTTAAATTAAGGTTTTTTTCACCTCTACCTGAATTTGCCATTGCAATTTCTCCTAATTTAAATGTCTAGGCTATTTCCACCAATGCTAGAAAATTCAGGGCACGTATGTTTCTTGTCAGTTCACAGAATAAGAACTCAGCTAAGAAATTCTAATTCAAATAATATCAGTATTATATCAAATAAAGAGAAATTATAATATATTAATCACTTTTGTGTTCATATACATACCCTATCTGAATCCATACAAATATTGGTTTCTCATAGTAAATCTATAACCATATAACAACCACTAGTCTAAACAGAAGTGTTTACGGTATATATGGTATATTTCATAATGTACATTGCACATAGTATATTTAATCCCCCTTTTTTTTTCTTTTGAGATGGAGTGCAATGGCGTCATCTCGGCTCACTGCAACCTCCGTCTGGGTTCAAGCGTTTCTCCTGCCTCAGCCTCCTGAGTAGCTGGGACTACAGGTGCATGCCACCAGCCCAGCTAATTTTTGTATTTTTCTTTTAGTAGAGATGGGGTTTCACCATGTTGGCTAGGATGGTTTCGATCTCTAGACCTCGTGATCCGCCTGCCTCGGCCTCCCAAAGTGCTGGGATTATAGGTGTGAGCCACCAAGCCCGGCCTAATCTTGCTTTTTTGATAGACAAAATGCATTTTAATATGGCTCCAAAACTAATCATTTTCAAGACCATCTGACAAGACCAGTAAAACCAGAAATTCATAAGATAATAAAATAGTAATTACACATGTAAAAACATTACAAAATATGAACTACTTTCAATGCTGACTAGGATCCTATTTTAGGAACTGCCTTTGCTCTGACTGCTCTTGCATCACACCAGAGTGTAGATATGGCCAGAAGACCACAAAAGGCTGGGGTGCGGTGGCTCACGCCTGTAATCCCAGCACTTTGGGAGGCCGAGGTGGGCAGATCACCTGAGGTCAGGAGTTCGAGATCAGCATGGCCAACATGGCAGAACCCTGTCTCTACTAAAAACACAAAAATTAGCCAGACGTGGTGGTGCTCACTTATAATCTCAGCTACTTGGGAGGCTGAGACATGAAAATCGCTTGAACCTGGAAGGCGGAGAGGTTGCAGGGAGCCAAGAACATGCCACTGCACTCTAGCTTGGGTGACAGAGCAAGATTCTGTCTCTTAAAAAAAAAAAAAGTCCATAAGGGCCCCCCTAGAGCATTATCAGAAGCCAAATGGTATATACCTATTCATGCATATATATACATTAGAAGTAGATAAACTGAAGAAAAAGCCTAAAATTTAAAACAAAATTCAGGTAAAACCTTCATGATTGAATAGTTATATAATCAATAAAAGCCCAGGACCTAAACAAAGGCCATTATTTTTTAATCATAAAAAGGCCTAGAAAAAGTATAAAGATTTTATTTTTCCTTTTTATGTCATTTGACTTGATTTTTATAAGGAAACTGTATATTCTGTTATCAGCTTTGTCAGACTGTAGTTAAATAAGGAAAGTGATCTAAGAACAATTAAAAAGAACAAAGCAGTAATGAATGGGAAGTGGACCAGTGGAAATTTTGTGCTTGAGAGAAACAGTTAAGAATTTTATGATTTCTGGGTACCATAGGCTGATTCAGTCTTATTTGTTTATAGGAGTGGTTCTCAAAGTGTGATTCAGAGGCCAGTGGGGGGTCTCCAAGATCCTTTCAGGTAGTCCATGAGATCAAAACTATTTTCATAATAAGAAGAGGTCATCTGCCTTTTTCATCTCTTTCTCAAATGTGCAGTGGAGTACAAGGCTCCACGATGTGTGATGGCATCGTTGCTCTGAGCACTGCTGCAGTGTGCACTTGTATGTTCTGGTGTTTTCCAATTTTCTCAGCAATTATTTCTAATATAATCAATTCTGATAGGCAGAACCCATACAAACAAAAGCTCATTGGGGTTCTTAATCATTTTTAAATGTAAAGGGTCCTAACACCAAACATCTGAAACCCAAACTTTACGAAAGTTTATGAAATCACATGAAAAAGGGATCTGCACCTCTGCTGGAAACCCAACCATATATTTTGAAAGAGCTTGCAACATCACATTCTCTGACAGGACTGTAGCAAAAGCCAATATAATACATTGAACTATGCTGCAGTACCCTGTACAGACCAGGAAAAGTGCAAGGTATTTTCTGCCTGGATAAACTGGGCTGGATTGCGGTCCACACTTGCCAGACAGCCGGGTTCACAGGACGGACCACCAGAATACAAGCCCCACTCAGGCTTCTAGCCTGGCAGAGCTGATCACTAAACTCATATCCCACCTTCCTTTCTCATAGTCCCCCCTTACCTTAAATAAGCTTGGTAACAAAAAGGCACAAATTCACATCAAAAACTGAGTAAAGTAAACATCTTCTGAAGAGAGATAAAAGAAGATACAGAAATCAAAATTATTCCCCAAAATCATGTTTTGCTGTCTTCTCTCTAATATTTAAGATCCAATGAAAACCAAAATTCTTTACTCCCCACAGCTTTGCAGGGGAAAAAAATATTTCCCTAATGAAAACTAATTCCCAATAAAGAGAAAATACTTTCTCAATTGCATAGGATAAACACCTATTGCTACTTATGGGAAAAAAGAGTGAATCTCATAGAGATAAGGATTAAGAAAAAGTTTCCCTGGCTGGGGACTTCCCAAATAGAGGAAGCTGCTTCACAGATCTTCAGAATTCTAAGTATAGCACTGAGCACTTTTACATAGAATAGGTAACAAAAAGCATCTTGTCTGTCTCTGAACTCCACAAGTTTACCTATAGCTTTCACAATACAACATATAAATTCACATGTGCCTTAAAAGATCACATGCCAGCCAGTCAAGATGGCTTACACCAGGTAATCCCAACACTTTGGGAGGCCGAGGCAGATGGATCACGAGGTCAGGAGTTCGAGACCACCTCGGCCAATATGGTAAAACCCCCATATTTGTATTTTTAGTTTTTACTAAAAATACAAAAATTATCCAGGTGTGGTGGCACGCACCTGTATTCCCTGCTACTAGGGAAGCAGAGGCAGAAGAATCACTTGAACCCAGGAGGCGGAGGTTGCAGTGAGCTGAGATCGCGTCACTGCACTCCAGCCTGGGTGACAGAGCAAGACTCTGCCTCAAAAAAAAAAAAAAAAAAAAAAAAAAAAGATCATGCGCCTTAAAACATTTGTAGCTTTATCTCCCTGCAAGACTACAGAGGCCTTCAGTGAAGATTCTTAGTACATTTTTTTCTTGCCCTCTAACAGTCTCTTGTACATTGCAGGTTTTCAAATATGTGATGAATGAATAAAAACTATAGCACATGAGTTTAACCATTTCTAAAAGAATAACAGGAGTTGCTCATCATCCCTCTTTTCCCTTGCTTTATAAATACCCCAAATAAATAATAATACATTGCTACTTACCATTGTGTCTGATAATGACATTCCAGAAAAAGAAATGCCTGGGTCATACCGGCTTGATTTGAAAAGACCCATGAAGTCGGTGTCACTGTTTCCGCAGTTTGGCAAGTTTGATTTAAGAACATTTTCAGTATGATTAGCCTTTTCCATATCATCGTTCTTCAGTTTTGAAAATTCAGAAAATTTAGTTTCCAGCAAGTGTAGGTTGCTTCGTGAATCCAGATCTTCTTTATCTTCTTTGGTTTTCTCTTTTTGCGGGTATTTTTCCATGTGGCTTGGACTTTTCAAACTGGAGTGTGATGTACTTGACGAGTTGAAACTGAAGACCTTTAAGGAGTTGTCGGGTAGATTTGGCTGTTCTTTGTTCAAACCACAGGGCGGGGCACCCTCAGTCGTGGGCTGTGACACTGAAGACTGAGATAGGGAACCGTCCTGAGAAGTACTGAAAGCCGTGGTCATAGTGTTGACTGATGTCACAGAAGGAGAAAAGATTTTGTCTTGTGGTAAGGAAGATAACAAGCTTGAGAAAAGTGCACTTTTTTCTAGTCTCGATCTCTTAATGCTACCACTTGTGATGTCCCTGTTCTCTTTGTCATTGATTTCCGGCATCACCAGAGGCTCACTGCTCCCATTAGTGTTGGTGTGCAGGGACTTGAGGACACTCTGTTCAGCAGATGCACGTTTGGGTCTCAGTTGGGATTTTGTGTCAAGGCTCTGCATCAAATGTAAAGCCGGGGACATTTCTGGCTGACTTTCCTTCTTCTTCCCCAAACCAAAGGTAAACACATTGGGATCAAACACCTTTTCTAAATGGTCTTCATGAATAGGAGGCATGGCAAAGTGAGGAGCAGGAGAATTTGGCATCCTGGCCTTCTTTCTTTTCATGGGCATACAAACTGCACTATCCATCTGTTTTATAATTTCAGTGAATTTTTCCATATCAGAAGAAGAATCAAATACACTGTCATCACTACCAGCAGAAATGTTCAAAAGACCGGCAGGGCTATTCCAGCCGTGTCTAACAGTCTGATCTGGCTTTTGAGGAGTGTCTAAGTGATTTCCGCTGCTGGGAGAGGTGGTGGGACTAGATTCAGTCATCAGGGGTGTTCTGTTGCCCTGACTTTGAGCCTGAATAGGCAAAGTTTTCTCTGATGCTGGTGGCACAACTTGTGGGTCAGATTTTGCCGCGAGCTCTGCTGTGCAATGAGAGTGTTCGGGTGACATGCTCTTATTGCCCAGTACTTCCTCTTGTAGGGGAGCACAACTTGCAACGGAAACCACTTCAGGTTCATTACTGTGACAAGTTGGCAACTGCACTTCTCTAACTTCAGAGCTCTCTGGGATGACCTGGGAGCTCACATCCTGGGTGCTCTCCACGGGGAGCACGAAGGACCTGACCTGGACGAGGACTCTGGATGGACACTCACTTCCCACAGCTTCTGGACTATGCTCTGTGGACAAAGGAGGGTTTGTCTCTCCTCCAAGTTCTGAAAGTGGCATTTTCTCATTGTTCTGATGAGACACAGGCAAAACACGTCCTTTGTGATTTTCTGACACTCTCAGATCAGTGCACGGAAAACTGCTTATGGGCGATTGAACACATGTGTCTTTGGCAACATCCCCAGGAGTGGGTGCAGACAGTGAAAGAGAAGGCTCAGGAGATGACTCAGTAGGGGCCTGTGAGTCAGAAGATGTATGCTGTGGCTTTGGCATGGCTGCTGGGGGTAAATCTTTGGTATCCACAGTGATGGGGATGTCTTGTGCTGCACTGGTTACATTTTCAAGTACAAGTCTTTTGCTGTCTGCAGCCTCTGAGTCCTTCTCTAAGAGCTTATGATCTTTGACAGGAATCAGAGCAGAAGCCACTGGTTCTGAAGGGCAGCCAGCATCTATTTGCACATCTGCTTTATCATCTTGGTTAGGTTGAGGACCAAGAGCTTGATTCTCAGAAGGGTCTCCATTCATTCCTCCGGTTGCTGGTAGAATCTCTTCTTCCGAGAGAGTAACTTTGGTTTCTACAGCAGTTTCCTTCACCAGCACACCACTCTGGGGACTGTTTGGCATTACTTTCTTTTCAGGTTGCTCCATTTCTTTGGCTTTTTTGGCTAAATTCAGCTTCGCCCTCCCAACAAACGTTTTACTAGAGGCAGGAGTGTTCCTTGTGCCTCGAATGTCAGTGTGTCTTGGGCTACTGTTTGCCCGTTTGTTTTCAAATAAGGAGATTTTGGTGGCAGTGTTGCCTTTGTGAACTGGCTGGCTAAATGGATTGTGCTCATTTCCCAAACTGTCAAGATTCTTAGGGGTTTTAAGATTTAGTTCCACATGTTTGGGCTTGGCAGGGCTGTGAGGAAAAAGCAGGAAGACAAAGTTATTGACCTAGTTTTAAAAAGTGAACACACAAACCAACTAATTATAAAACTATGAAAAGCCAACGTCTCCCTGATGTATAACATTTGGAGTGTGTTGTGTGTGTGTGTGTGCGCGCACACATGTGTTTTTAAGACAAGGTCTTGCTCTGTCGCGAAGGCTGGAGTACAGCAGTGTGATCATCGATTGCTGCAGCCTGAAACTCCTGGGCTCAGGCAATCCTCCTGCTACAGCCTCTCAGGTAGCTGGGACTACAGGCACATACCACACACCCAACTAATTTCTTTATTTTTATTTTTTGTAGAATGGGGTCTATGTCACCCAGACTGGTGTCTCAAACTCCTGGCTTCAAGCAACCCTCCCATCTTGACCTCCCCAAGTGCTGGGATTACAGGCATGAGCCACCATTCTCTGCCACATTTGTTTTTTAATGAAACTATTTTTAAATAGTCCTAAGTACACTATCAACTATTTTTAATGGGTGTTTTGCTTGCATATGAGGGATCGGAAGATTATATAGCCAAGAAACTCTAGGGATGAGGGATGAACTAATTTATTGAGCACCTAGCATGTATGCACAGTGCTTGGCACTAGGGTTGGAAGACATCTTAAGGCCTGAAGAACATTAGAAGAAATTTAAATATTTAATGCATTCCCATACTCCAACATCAATTATGTATTTTTATTTTAGCATAACTTTTTAAGTATTATCTCAAAAGGATAGATTTTAAAAATTCATCTACTATTGACCTCTTTGGATATTTTATTCCTCTCATCCTTCCCCCATAAGATTTTCTCTGATTATAAGTGTGTTCACTATAGCAACTTTGGATAATATTTAAAAATCACTGATAATCCTACCAGTCAGAGAATATCCCTGTTAACATTTTTAAACATTTCTAATCTTTTTATATGCATAATTAAATATTTTGAATAGAATTAAGATTATTCTGTTCATATAATTTGATATCTTGCTTTTTCAAGAAATAAAATGACTTAACCTTATAGTTAACATTTTTCAGATTACCAAAAAATTTGTTTGAAAAGCTATCTTAATGCTGCATGGAAGTCCATCGTATGGATGTACCATCATTTACTTATCAATTATGCAGCTGTTGGTTTTGTCACCACTTCTTGGGCAAGAGAGTCTCCCCTTTCTCTGTCACATTTCTTGGGTATAGTTACCCCCAGTGGAAATAATAAGTCTTTGAATGTACACAGTGCTTTCTTTCAGAGAAACAAATGTGCTCTGTTTGGCATTCTCTGGCTCTGGTCCTGGCTTTTATGCTAATTATCTGTGTGAACCTGGTCAAGTTACTTTACCTCTCTGGACTGTACCTTCTTCATCTTTAAAAAAATGAGATGGTTTAGAACAGAGTTGTTTTTATTTCCCCCAACTTACAGTTGAAGGAATCCCTGGGGTTTTCTTCAAGGGCTACAGTTGGGGAAAGTAGGGACAGGGATGGGGCTGTCCACTCTCCTTTCAACCAGAATCACTCCCAGTATCTGTTTTATTTATTGCTCCTATTTAAACTTTCTTAGAAGAAAGGGTTCCACAGCATATATATATATATATTTTTATAGATATATATCTATATATTTATATATAAATATATATTTTATATATAAATATATCCTATTTATAGATATATAGATATATATCTATCTATTTATCTATTTATCTATATATATCTAGATATATATCTATATACTTATATAGATATCTATATATCTACATATCTATCTATATATATCTACATATATAGATCGATCTATCTATCTATCTATCTATCTATCTATCTATCTATATCTCCCAGCACTTTGGGAGGTGAAGGAGGGAGGATTGCTTGAGCCAGGGGGTTCAAGACCAGCCTGAGCAACATACTGAGACCCAGTCTCTACAAAAAAAAAAAAATTAGCCAGGTGAAGTGGTGCATGCCTGTAGTCCCAGCTACTCCAAAGGCAGAGGTGGGAGATAACTTGAGTCCAGAAGATCAAGGCTGCAGTGAGCTATGGTCGTGCCACTGCACTCCAGCTTAGGTGACAAAGCAAGACTCTGTCTCAACAACAACAACAAAAGTCTAAACCATTGGTCTAGTGGTTTATAAAATGGGAGAGATAAAGCATAACCACTAACAGTCACTGATTGTCTAGAACTTGAGAAATGCTTCATCGGGCTCACCTAATTCATATACAACTTTATACATTCTATTTTTGGCTGAGGAAGTTGAGGCATCAAGAAGGAACTTGCCTGAGGTTATGCAGCTAATAAGTGACAGGGCCACAATTTGAAGCCAGGTGCTCTGGTTTCAGATGCCATGCTCCTAACCACTAAACTATTCTACTTCTTCAGATAGGCTTGGACTATACCCGCCTGGACGAGCTCCTCTGGTTCTTTCCATCTTTATCATTTAAAGTCAGTGAATTATCATGAGATCCATAACATAACATAGACTTTAGAGGCCACTTTGATAATGAGAACATACAAGTGGAGACACTGAAATCCCATGCTGCCTCTCCTTCATGGACTTGGCCTTCATGAAGCTTGGGCCTGGCTAGGTGCGGTGGCTCATGCTTGTAATCCCTACACTTTGGGAGGCCAAAGTGGGTGGATCACTTGAGATCAGGAGTTCCGAGACTTGCCTGGCCAACATGGTGAAACCTTGTCTCTACTAAAAATACAAAAATTGTCGGGTGTGGTGGCACATGCCTGTAATCCCAGCTACTTGGGAGGCTGAGGCTGGAGAATTGCTTAAACTCGGGAGGTGGAGGTTGCAGTGAGCCAAGATTGTGCCACTACACTTCAGCCTGGGCAACAGAGTGAGACTCTGTCTCAAAAAAAAAAAAAAAAAGAAGCTTGGGCCTAAGGAGCTTCTAGAAGGGACAGGCAGTATGACTGCTGGTGAGTCACCTTATCCTTCTGGATAAAATAAAACTGGGCTGGATACCATCAAGTCCTCTCCAAAAGCAGCACTGAGAATTTAGATTTTAATTTTTTCAAATTTTATTTGATACTAAATTTGAGGCTGGGATCAGTGTCTACTGCCTGTAATCCTGGCATTTTGGGAGGCTGAGGCAGGTGGATCACTTGAACCCCGGAATCTGAGACCAGCCTGGGGAACATGGCAAAATCTTGTCTCTAAAAAAATACAAAAATTAGCCAGACATGGTGGTGCACCTGTAGTCCCTGCTACTAGGGAGGCTGAGGTGGGAGGATCACCTGAGCCCAGGGAGGTCGAGGCTACAGTGAGCCATGATCATGCCACTGCAATCCAGCCTGGGTAACAGAGTGAGACCCTGTCTCAAAAATAAATAAATAAATAAATAAATAAATAAATAAATGAATTTGATCTCTGCTCATAAATTTCTCCCAGGCATTGCTTTCCCCAATATCTCCATAAGATACTTAGGCTCCGTTATTGCATGCCCATACCTTAAATTTAAAAGGAAAATTAATTTATAAGCATTTCCTTAAAGATCAAATTATGAAACCAGTGAGATGATTAGAAATAGAAAGCTTCAATTTGCTATCAGTTAATGAGGGATGGTCACATACCAGAGAATATACTTTTTAAAAATTCTCACTAATGAGTTCAAGGAAGGGTACTCAATTCAAACACCGAAGTGTATCTTATGATGTAAACAGGAAACACTACAGGTTAGCAGGCTACCTTAAGGACAGGAAACACATATCTGCACATTAAAGATTTACACCAAGATCAAAATAAATTTTACAACCAAACTTTCTGTGCTATTAAGTTGTGCTACCAAGAGTCACTACAATTAACCTAGTTCAGACTGATTAAAAGGAAGGCTCCTATAATTCATGTTGTAATGCCTTCATTATGAGAGAGGGGAAAATAATTTGGAGTCCAAAAAGCCATAGTTCTATTATAAGAGGAAAATTCTTCTTATTCTACATATACCATTTTAAGAATTTCAACATTCAGCACTTAGTAGAGAACTTGAAGGAATAATTTTTCTAACAGCATAAAGAAACATGTTACTTCAGTGGCATTATTTTTCAGGGAATATGAAATAGTTTTTCTAACTCTTCAGTCTCAAATTGTTTTAAAGAATAATCTGATTAACATCTTGCGATACGGTCATAGGAAGAATTAAAGGGTCTGAAAAAACCATCAGTCACAAAGAAATGGGTCAAAGGACTAGAAATAATTATTAATTTTTAAGTCAATAATTTGCCAAATGACCATGTGCAAGGCACCGCGCAAAACAAATACATTGAATGTCTGGTAAAGAAAATTTTTAGGTAGAAATTAATCAGAACTAGGAAAGAGACATTTGGTTTAGTTCTATTACAGAGAACAGCACACGAAGAATTTCATTGTGAGATCATCTTTCCTGTTTGTTTAGCCTACTCTTTCGCAGTGTAACATTTCTGGTTTTTCTACTGGTGTCTTCTGATTGGAAGACAGGTGAACCATCCTTCTTAAGGTACACAGCAATGTTTCTCTAAGGCTCACATTTAGGAGGCTTTAGCATTCAATCACACTGGTCTTCTATAAATAATAGGCATCATTCACCCAGCTTATTTCTCTGATGCTACCTACCATTACAGAATAAATCACTGACTATATCAAAGGTCTCCAGGTTGGCAGCTCGTGAGATAGTCAAGTTATTCATTAAGCATACTTCCCTCTCAGAGTTCCTCTAAAGCTTACTTACCCAAGAAATCAAATAGAATGAAAGAAACCATTAAGTTCAAGAATTATAATGATAATGTTGTTAAAATACCCACTCTTTGAACAAATATGTGAATGGAGGAAAAACTTAAGTACTTAATCATTATTCACCTGTGCTAAGTGGGAGTGGTGAGGGAGAAGAAGTGTGGGAAGAGAGGGTCTTACCAGTTTCAGAGTACCTTGCTTATCCTTTCCACCTATACAAATTGCATTTATGATCAAGGCACAGGCCCAGCTCCTCCAAAGCACCAGCAGTGATTTCTTCCTTGCTAGCACTTCCCCAGGCTTTACAGATGGTAACATTCATTTGGCAATTTCATCAGATATCGTCTCGTATTGTTATTTGATTTGTGTGCTTCTTGTGTGCCAGATGGGGCTATAAAAATTTCAGGGCAATATCCTGAGTCATAGTTGTAGGGTTTTTTTTCCCCACAGTGCCTAGCACAATATCTTGCACAGAAAGTATTAAATAAATTACTTGTGAAATGAATAAACTTAAGCAAGTAGTCACAGTTGTTTTGTGCTTTCATGCAGCACAAAGAGGAAGAAGCAACCAAGATACATGAATTAGGGACTTTTTGAAAAAGGCTTAGGCCAATAATGCACTATGTTCCATAAAATGTTTTGGAATCATCTTAAACTCACACCTGTCACAGCTGCTTTCATGTAGCAAATAATCTTTTGTATGATTATTGATCTTTATTTCAATAACTGAAAACTACTTTTCAACCTGGGTCCAAAAGTATCACCAGACTCCCTAACATTATAAAGGGGAAGAAGCAACCAAGATACTTGTATTAGGAACTTTTCTTGTGTGTATGTGCGTTTAAAACTTTTTGCCAATAAATGCACTGAGTTCCATAAAAGGTTCTGTGAATTCTCTTAAAACTCACACATGTCAAAGCTACTGGGTCGTACTTAACATGTTACTGTTTGCTCCATATTTTGAAATTCACAGCACATGTATTTTAAGAACATCCCACGTTGGAACACCCTTGTACCTTTTGAATAAAGAATAGAATCAGCTCATGTCAGGCCGTAAGGTCTTATCTCTCATCTACATAAACTTTGAGCTTCAAGGAAAATCCTATTTTTACATTCGTTAAACTTAAATCTTGTGTTAGGGAACTAACTGAGGAGGCTGCCACGGGTGGCATCTTAAACCTTGACTGTGTAAACTGGCCCTTCACTATCTTAAGTTCAGCATGGAGGGGAAAGTTCAGTGACCAGACATTTCTTCCACAATGCAAAGACCCCGAGCCTCTCAGAGCCGACCCCCAGCACGTGTGCAGACAGCAACTCCGCCGGGACTTGCGCGGCTACTTACAGGGTCACTTTAGTGGTCACCGTCGACCTGCCCACGCCGAAATGGTTCCTGGGCTTCAAGCCGTCGGCGTCAGAAGCTCCAGGCGCACCGGTCGCTCTGCCCAGCTCTTTGCTCCGACCTCCCTCTGCCCGGCCGTCGAAGTGGTTGGGGAGCGGGCCCCTCTTGTGCTCCGGCTTGATCTCCGGCAGCAGCGAGCTGCTCTTGACCGGGAGTTCGCGGGGGACGGCCCGGGCCGCCTCCTCCCCGCTCTCGGCCGCAGCGCCCTTGGTGACCGGGCCGGGATCTGGCACCCTCTTCGGTGGAGACTCCTTGGCGGGAGCCCGCGGGCCGCTGGCGGGCGGGGCGGGCACGGCCTCGAGGGTACGGCTCCTGCCCTTCCTCTTGGTGGGGGACGAGGCCGGGGGTGGCTGTTTGCTCCGGTCCGACTCGCCTCGGAGCTGCCCTTTGGGGCCGGGGCCAGGCTTGGACTCTGGGCTCGCAGCGGAGGCAACGCCCCCGTCGAGGGCTGCCCGCGGAGATTTCACTTTCTTTTCCGCCGAGGAGCAGTCGCTGGCCGCGTTTGGCGCCACCTCGTCGTCGAACACCGCGTCGTCCCTGGCCGCGCTCTCAGGAAGCTCGGCATCCGCGCCGGGGGAGTCGGTGGATTTCTGCGACCTCCTCCGCCTCCCGGACCTGCGGCCGCTCGACTTCTTCTCCATGTCGTCCCAGTCACCGCAATCTTCCGCCCTGGGAGTAATCACGACGGGCTCGTCCACTTGCGCCCCCTCAGTCTTACTCAAGTAGATGTCCAAAGTTAGCACCTTAGTAGGGTGGGCGCGACCCCCGGGCCGGGCTGTGCAGTCTGCCTGCGCGGAGCTGGCCGTGTGCGCTGCACCCTCGGCCGGAGGCTCACCTGGCAGAGCAGACGCGCCCTTGGGGGGCTGGATGCGGGCGTCACGGGGTCCCAGGGAGCCTTCTTCCGCACACACACCTGGGGCTCCTTCAGGGGCCTCGCCTAGTTCTCCCCTGGGCCGCTCCCGGGTGGGCGACCCCGGCGCACCCCTCGCACCCAGGAAAGCCTCCTGTTCGTGGCCAGCACCTGGTGAAGCGTCCTCCCCCGTACTGCGGGCGGGCGTCTCTGCGTTCTCTTGCCTGGAGGAATTTCCCTGCGAGGAATGCAGCTGCTTGGCAGCGGTGGTGGCATCTGGGAAAGGCTCTCCCTCTGCCTCCAGAGGTTCTAATTGGGGTGAATCATTTTCATGGCACTGCTGCACAGCCACAGCCGCTTCACTGCTGTTCCAGCGAGGTGACAGCTCGGCGTCATGGGGGGCTGCGGGGCCACCGCTCTCAGGGAGCTCGCCCTCTGCCTCCCGGGGATTCTCCCGCGGGGAGCCCTCCTCGCTCGTGTCCGCTTGCTTCAGCTGGCTGCTCTGAGATCTGCTCTTCTCACTCTCTGTCTCTGGGAGATTAGAAGAGGCTACCACATCTTTGGGAGACAGTGGTTTGGCATTTGATCTAGTGGGACTCTCTAGCCCGTTTCTACTGTTCCTTCTCCTTCCTGTAGTGAATAGAGTGCCAAGTTTCCCCAAAACTGGCTTCCTTCTGTTCTCCTCTGGAGGTTGTGCTCTGGACTGAAAAATAAAAGGGATGAGGAGGGAACTATGAGAATCTGGTGTTTTTCCCCTTAGACGTACATTACAGAACTACCAGCCAAAATGATAACAGACCAGAGTTTCTAATTGAAAATGATAAAGTTATGTTTATGTTACATTCATTCCAACAAAACAAACTCTGGTTTTACTTTTGAATTTTTCTTGAACACCTTAAGTTTCTGGCACTAGTTAGAATAGCATTTTCTTTGAATTCGTGTTTTTTAAAGGAAAATTTGAACGGTCCAAATAATCACATATACAAAATAAATAGTTCCTTGCCCTCTCTAGCTTTTTTACCTTCTTCCTCAATAAAGATGCAATTTATAAACAGCGGTGCGTGTGACCATGGGGCAGCAGTAAACACATTAAAGTATCCTAAGGCGGACTTTCCCCGAAACACCGCCCTTTCTTTTTGTAGGAGGGAAGGAGGACGAAGAAAAAAAACCAGTTCTAGCAGCCTTCTCGAGAACAGTAAGAAGCCACCCGGGTTCAACATACAGTACCTGCAACAAGAAAACCTTAAGCAAGCTCAGAGGAAGCGAGCACCTGGGCCCCGCCCTAGCCCGAGCTCCAATGGGAGGAGGGCGCGAGCGTTCAAACACCCGAGTGATCCCGCGGCTGCTGAGCGCACCGGAAGGGCTTTTGCCTGTGGGAGTTCCTACCAAGTGAACGAGGAGGAGTGCGCGGGGGTAGCAGGCGAGGTTGCAGGGGTGATCGCCTTTGCTCACTGCCCCCTCGAGCCGAGGAGGCGTGGCTGAAAGATGCGCGGGACTCTGCCTGCTTGGCCCCGGGACCCGTTCCTTACCACTCGTGTGGTTCCGGGGGCGCACGGCTGGAGCCCCAGGGGCTGGCTCACCCATGCGAGGGTGCCGGGCAGCCTGCGAAGGATCCGCAGCGCTCCCAGTAAGGGGGAAAACCTGGGCTTCGTATATTGCCTGGAGCAAAACGGCTAGCATCTGGTGCCCGCGCCAGAACGCGGGAGGGAGCGCAGAACAAACGAATAAAAGCAAACCCGCCAAGGGGCGCGGTGGCACACCGGGGTCGGGTTCGCCAGAATGGGGACTGGGTAGGTGCCGGGCATAGAGGTGGGCAGGAAGAGGAGGAGACGAGCCTGGGAAAGGGAGGGAGCAGGGGCAGCGAGCCCAGCCTGGCTCCTAGGAGTGGGAAGCGTATTTGCGTAAGGACTCCTCTGAAACCAGGCCAAACGTGCGGCTCCTGTATTTCTTAAGAATGAACTCTTACATTGAAAACCCGGGTGCCAGCTTGAGTCCTGGCGATGCAGGAAAGAGCCCCACCTTTCCTGGAAGAGGAACATTCAGGATAGTACCAACTACGGGAGGTTCCCCAATCACCCTTTGAAGTAGCTCTATTGTGTTTGAGTTACATGCAGCAAATGGACTTTGGCGATGGGAAATAGCAAAGATAACGCATGAAATTAACAGGTCAACAAGCATTTGTTGAGACAGTCCTGGTACTGTAACATAGTGTCACCCCGCTACAGCCCAGTGAGGTCATGCTGTTACCACACAGAGGAGGAAAGGAAGCTCAGCCAGCCCATAACGACACAAAATTGAGGTGGGGGGGGGGCGGGGGGGAGAGGCGGTCAGAGCTCTAAAGTCAGAATTCAAATCCAAGTCGCCTCCTTCCCACCCCATGCTCCTTTCACCGCCACGGGGGTCCCTTTTAGAGGCCCCGGAGGTTCTGCAGCCACCACAGTCCGCCCAGAGGAACAGACTGCGGGTCACACACCCCCAGAGTCAGCTCCCAAGGAAGTGCTCATGAATCAGATTTGCTCTCAAGGTTCTAAGATTCTCCTGGTCCTAGAAGCACCTGGTGGGCGCTTTGGGACTAGACAGTTGCTGCTGCTGCGATGAACCAGTGATGCTGCCGCTCGGAGCTCTTGTACCTGAGGTCATAAACGATTCTAAAGTCTAACCAGAGTTTGATTAATTGATTCTTCAATGGTTATATAAATAATATGGGAAGAATTCAAAGTATGATTTAAGGGAAAAAAATCAAAATATTGTAACTTCCTAAGGAAATATTTGGGTTATTTTACAAGTCAAAGGTATGGCAAGATTTTTAAATCATAATACATGTTTACTGAGCTATCCTATGGGTCAGGCCCTTGTGATTCACACACTTTCATTTTATCTTCCCAATAGCTAGGTAGGTAGTCTTTTTTTAATGCCCATTTGCCAAGGTTTTCTCCCTGTCCAAGGTCCCACCGCAGGTAAAGTCTTTCTGATTCTGACATAGAGCTGTTTGTCTCTGCTGTCTGGACAGGCCTTCAAACGTATCTTGAAGAAGTAGCCAGGGAAAATAGGTTTGAGTCTTGGCTTAATTCCATTCCCTGTCAAAATAAAACAACTAAGTATATGTATTACTCTGTCCTGCCAATGATGTTGCAATCTGCTTTTCCCATGCAGTAAAGACGCTTGATCAGCAGTCCTTTTTATGCTCAGTATAGGCATTAAAACAAAAAAAAATTTTTTTTTTTTTGGCTATTAGATGCTTTTTACAAAACTGGTTGCTTGCTCTTCAACTTGGCTCAACTACTTGACTTCTCCTCCCCTCAGAGGGGCAGCCTGTGTATCACCAGCCAGACTGCTGAATTTCCTAAAAATACATGAATGTTCATAGTGGCTTCATTCATTCATAATAGCTAAAAACTGGAAACAGCTCAGAGTCGCTGTACACAGCTTGTGAAGAGATAAACCGATTGTGGTACATCTATACAGCAGAGTACTATTCAGCAATAAAAAAGGAACAGAGTTCCAAAACGTGTAAAGATATGGATGCCAAATGCTTTTGAGAAGCAGTCAGACTCCAAACGTTACATACTGTATGGTTACATTTATATGACATTCTAGACAGTGCAAATCTAATGTATAATGATAGAAAGTAGGTCGGTGGTTGCCTGAGCGTAGGGACCAGTGGGTGGCAAGTGGTGGTGGTGCAACAGGGAAGAGGCACAAAGGAATGTTGAGGGTTAAAGTTCTATATCTTGATTGTAGTGATGGTTATACATGAGTACATATCTTTCAAAACTCATCAAACTGTACATTTAAGATGGGTATTAATAAATGAAGTTAACATAAAATCTCTTTAAAAACAGAGTTTTCCCCCTGGGAAATAAAGAATAGAAATGCACTGTGTGGTACAATCCATCTGTCTTGGGTGGACATTTCACAGGGTCTTGCTGTATTGACCAGGCTGGAGTGCAGTGGCACGATCACAGCTCACTGTGGCCTCAACCTCCTGGGCTCAAGTGATCTTCCCACCTCAGCCTCCCAAGTAGCTGAGACTATAGGCATGTGCCACCATGCCCAGCTAATTTTTAACTTTTTTTGTAGAGAGTTTCACCATGTTATCAAGGCTGGTCTCAAACTCTTGGGGCTCAAGTGATCCTCCTGCCTCAGCCTTCCAAAGTACTGGGATTATAGACGTGAGCCACTGTGCCCAGCCACGTTATGCAGTTCTTATTGAGGGGTCTCATGTCATTTCAAATGATAGACTCGTTTACAGGGGAATGCAGTCTTCTCCACAGGACGAGGTCCCTGTGGATATCCAGGATCATATCTCCAAACAGAACCATCTGAGCAGGGCTCAGAATGCCCCGTGCCTCCCGAGTAAAGTCCTCAGTCACATCTTTGAGAAATATCCCTTCCTAAATGCAATACATATTTCTTTTCAACCAGGGATTGTTTCTTTCCATTGTTCATGGGGAAACTAAGGCAAAGGGAGAATAAAAAAACTAACTGGCCCGGGAGTTGTCAGAGAGGCACCTTCTTAGGTTTGAGCCTTTGGGTCTGGGGTCTTAAACCTAGGATAGGAAGCCACAGACCCACCACCTTTCCAGGCTTGATGATAATTTGCTAGGAAGGGGAGTGTTTTGCAAAGAGGCCACAAGTGACCATCACGCTTCTTCATGCTTCCTCAGATTCCTCTGCCCCTGGCTTTCCCACAGGCCTGGGCAGGCTCCTAAGGGTTCCCAGGCTGGGTGTTCTAAGAGCACATGCAATCCCAGGTCCTCCTTTGTATGTACCTTTTTACTATGTATTTTCTGCCCACCTTACTTAAGGCAGCCTGCACACCTCACAGTGCAGAACCTGCACCTGGCACCCTCGCATCATCCATGTCCAACTGGGATGGAGCAGTCCACAACAGGACTATTGTAGAGGCAGCACATGGGTTGTGTGCTAGGACCTGCTTTAGAGTGTTCTTGTTGGCTAATATGAAATGCAGCTCATTAGGGGCACATGTAACCATCCACGAAATTGTATTCCAGCAGCGTGTAGAGGCCCAGGCAGCACTAGCTGCAGTGCTGTTGGCTGATTCTCAACCTTCCTGGTGTGGCAGCCCCTGCTATCAGCAGGTACCACTTAGTAAATGTTACCTAGTAACATTTGCTACCCATTGGTTAAGAAGATAATGTAAATGTTAGAGTTTTTTGAGACGGTTCTGGTTCTGAAGCTGGCCGAATCATGAATTTTTCTTTTTTTCCTTGCTTAAATAAATTCTGCTACATTTAACTATCTAAGGGTTTTTCCTTTTTACAGTAACTATGGGAAAAAAACTAAGTTTTTAAATTTTAATACAGTTATGGGTCATTGACATTTGTTTTTTGTTTATGATCTATTTACATCTTTAAGAAGTCTAGGCTGGGCGCAGTGACTCACACCTGTAATCCCAGCACTTTGGGAGGCCAAAGCAGGCGGATCATCTGAGGTCAGGAGTTTGAGACCAGCCTGGCCAATGTGGTGAAACCCTGTCTCTACTAAAAACACAAAAATTAGCCTGGCCTGGTGGCGGATGTCTGTAATCACAGCTACTTGGGAGGCTGAGGCAGGAAAATTGCTCGAACCTGGGAGGCAGAGGTTGCAGGGAACTGAGATCATACCATTTCACTCCAGCCTGGGTGAAAAGAGTGAAATTCCATCTCAAAAAAAAAAAAGAAAAGAAAACAAATCTAATAA